TTCTTCCCATTTCTTCACTGGTTATTTGTTTCAGGTGTAGGTTGGTGAGCTCTTTATAGATTTTGGATATAGCCCTTTGTCCGATGTCATTTGCAAATATCTTTTCCCATTCCGTTGGTTGCCTTTTAGTTTTGTTAGTTTGTTTCCTTTGCTGTGCAGAAATATCTTCACTAGAGGTCCAGTAGTTTCATTTTTGGCGCATTCCCTTGCCTTTGGGATGTAATGTCAAATGAAAGTACTGCAGCTAAGGAGTCCAGAAGGTCTTTCTTTCTCTAGGGTTTTGATGGTTTCCTGTCTCACATTTCAGGTCGCTATCCATTTTGGGTTTGTTTTGTGAATGGTGTAGAAAATGGGTCCTAGTTTCAAATCTTCTGCATGTTGCGTCCAGTTCTCCAGCACCATTTATTTAAAAAGACTTTTTTCCATTGGATATTCTTTCTCTTTGTCAAAATTAGTTGGCCATTCTTTTGTAGGAGTTAGTTCACAGAACAATTCTATTCCTTGGTCTGTGTGTCTGTTTTTGCAATACATACTGTCTTGATAGTAGTTACAACTTTGGTAGAGCTAAAGTCTAGGATTGTGATGCCTCCTGTATACGTCCTGCTTTAAAATTACTTTGGCTATTTGGGGCCTTTTGTAGTTCCATACAAATTTTAGGGATTGCTTGTTCTAGCTTGAGAAGAATGCTGGTACAATTTTGATTGGGATTACATTGAATGTGTAGCTTTGTTATTATTGTTTCCCAAATCTATTCGATGCCCAGGGGTTGCCTGGGTGGCATGAGTGGTTCGCGTCGACTTCTTGGGTCATGATCTCATGAGTCCGTGGGTTGAGCCCAGTATTCGGGGCTCTGGGGCTGGCTCCAGAGCCTGGAGCCTGTTCCAGTTCTAATGTGTCTCCTCTCTGTCTCTGCCCTTCCCGTTTCATATACTCACTGTCTCTCTCTGTCCCAAAAATAAATAAATGTTGAAAAAAAATTAAAAAAGAATATTCATTCTTCTAATCCATGACCACGGAATGTTTTTCCATTTCTTTATATCTTCTTCAATCTCAACCACTTAAGCTTTCTATTGTTTTTAGCATACAGATCTTGTACATCTTTAGTTTAGATTTATTCCTAGGTATTTTATGGTTCTTGGTGCAGTTGTGAATGGGATCAGTTTCTTTGTTGCTTATACTGTTTGCTTCTTTATTAGTGTAAGTGCAACTGATTTCACAATACTGTGATTTTGTATCCTACTGCTTCGCTGAATTCATATCAGTTCTAGCAAATTTTTGATTGGAGTCTGGTTCCATATATAATATCATCATCTACAAAAGGAGTGACCCTTGACTTCATCTTTACTTGATGTCACCTTTAGTTTCCTTTTTGTTGTCTGATTGTAGTCTTCTTACTTCCTTACTATATGTTCAACAAACAATAGCGTTGAGTGGATATCCCTTGTATAAGCAGCTTAAAATGCTATTTTTATTTTATTTATGAAGAGATTAGTGGAAATAGATAAAATATAAGTATTTTTGGCCTTTGAAAATATAATGTGGGGGCGCCTGGGTGGCGCAGTTGGTTAAGCGTCCGACTTCAGCCAGGTCACGATCTCGCGGTCCGGGAGTTCGAGCCCCGCGTCAGGCTCTGGGCTGATGGCTCGGAGCCTGGAGCCTGTGTCCGATTCTGTGTCTCCCTCTCTCTCTGCCCCTCCCCCGTTCATGCTCTGTCTCTCTCTGTCCCAAAAATAAATAAAAAACTTTGAAAAAAAATTAAAAAATAAAAAAAAAAAAAGAAAATATGATAATGTGTGAAACCAATCTATAAATATTCTTATTCTGTAATAGCATTAAGAATCTAGTGACACATGGAACTATGTTAGATTTTATGCAAAGAAAATTTTGTTGCTCTTTATTCATTGTACTTATTAAGCTTACATGAAATATGAGAATTTCATACAGATGTTAATTTTCCAAGCAGAGGCTTTTTGACCTCTGTCAAGGGATATTGTAGAAGTGATTTTCCTGTTATGCAGATTGTTAGGTTAAATCACTTATATGATTTCTTTGAGTTTTATGTTGTTTTTTTTAAATTTCATTTTCCTTTAGCTTCTTTTCTTCGTAATTTTATTTATTTAGACATTGTCACTCATTAGTAGGTATGAGGAAACCCATTTTATTATAATCTAGTACAAACTTCTCAAGTGTGTTCTTAGCATTAGTCAAGCTGTGTGGGATATTAGAAAATGTTACACAAAGAAAACATTTTTTTGACTAAGTTAAACAGAATGAAGTTTTAAATGAATTTAAGTTTTTTATTAACTACAGGCCTGTTTGGATCCTTTAGTATGTCAGTATTTATTATGACTCTCTAAGAGTGATTTATATAATGAGTAGTATTTCACAGAGGTCTTTGACCTGGAAACCCTTTTTGTCATGGAGTGTTTTGTGAAACTATCTGTGGGATACTATGTGAAATGCTGATTTTAATGATTTGGATTTCACTGTAAAAGATACTCTAATTCATTACTAGCGTTCTCTTTCTTCTTCAGTCTCCTCCCCTCCTTGGATCCAACACTAAATAAAAACCAATCCAAAAATAGATAAATATGATTATATACCATGACTGAGATTCATCCCAGAAGTTAATACTGGCTTAACATTCAGAAATGAGTCACCATATTTCAACATTTTAATGAACTATTATTTCTATATATATATATTTCTTTGCATGTATATATGAACTATATATATATATTATATATTATATATATATATACCATCAAAGATAGAAAGCATTTAACATCTATATAAAATGTTTAAGTTTATTTATTTTGAGAGAGAGAGAGACAGCATGAGTGGGGGAGAGTCAGAAAGAGGGGGAGAGAGGGAATCCCAGGCAGGCTCTTCACTGTCAGCACAGAGCTTGATGTGGGGCTTGAACTCACAAAATCATCAGATCACGACCTGAGCCAAAACCAAGAGTCAGACACTTAACTTCCTGAGCCACCCAGGTATCCCTATATAAAATCTTCTGGCAAAGTAAGAATAGAAGGACACTGTCTCAACCTGATAAATTAAGACATCTAAGAAAAATATACATCTCACATTAATGGCGAAATGTTTTTGCAAGGGAACATATTTTTCTAAGATATGCCACTTTGGCCTATTGATTATTTTAAGCTGGTTATTTTTAAGATACTGCAAATACATGAGAAGCTCCAAAAGCCAAGTAGAAGTTACTCCTTTGCATAGATATTTGTGTGTGTGTGTGTGTGTGTGTGTGTGTATATTTATTTATATAAATTTCCATTTGTAAGGGTGTCTCTCTTGCTGTACCAGGAAGGAGGGTTGACCCAGTTTCTAGAAACTTAATAATAGAGAAGGTAATGAGTTAATTCTGTATAACAGTCTTACCTTGTCTACTGTGCTTTTCCTGGTTACCTCTCATAACTGACTCCAAACATCTTTTGTCTTTGCCTAAAGACAGTATTTAAGTTGATGGCTTCGACCATTTCAGGGAGTTGGTTGGTTTTCCTGAGTTGCTCCTATGTATATAGAAGGTATACATGTTACTAATTTTTTCTCCTGTTATTCTGTCTCATTTCAATTTGGTTCTTAGAAAAGCTAGAAGAACCTTGAATGGTTAAGGCAAGTTTTTCCTTCTCAACACTTTTCTCATGATAGGAACAAGAAAAGGATGTCTACTCTTTCCTTAGGTTCATTGTACTAGACATTTTAGCCATTGCAATAAGGCAAGAATAACCAAAAATCTACTTGAACTAATAAGTGAGTTCAGTAAGTTGGCAGTGTGTGTGTGTGTGTGTGTGTGTGTGTGTGTGTGTATCTATGCTTTCATTTGATAAATGGCAAGGATGACAGAGTGTAGTGTAAAGGGGTGTGGGGTGAAGGATAATCATTTCAGTATATGATTTGGAATCAATTGGATATCCATATGGAAAAAAACTAAATATTATCTTTACATTATGTGATATAAAAATTTAATTACAGGTCGATTATGTATCTAAACATGAAAGATAAAACAATAAAGCTTACATTAGAAACTAATGTATGAAAACCTGGAGTAGAGAAATAATTCTTAAATAGTATACAAAGGTATTAATTATAAGGGAAAAGATGACATTGAAAAGGTTTTAGAAAAGACAAATTATAGAATGGAATGAAACATTTGCAATACAAATGACCCATGTCATTTTTTTAATTGTTTTTTAAAGAGTATAATGAAGTGAGGATGTGTTTTAGTTTCTCTGTTAATCCCACTTAAATGGATCCTAGTTTTTTAACATATAAGTTATATTTTCATACAAAATAACACAAGGAACCTAGAAATAGTTGACAGTGTGTAGAATCAGTGTTGTTGGATGGGCCAACAGCCGTGTCTCATTTGTAGTTTAATACTTGAGCCTTGTGCAGTAGGTGACATAGAATTAGTCTTATGTTTACGGAGTTAATGGATGAATGTTTAATAATTATAGGCAAAGTATGCGTAAAAGAGTAAACAACCTCATGAGGACTAGCCTTTTAAGTTTAAACCTAAAATTACAGTAAGAATTGTAGTTGGACATACAGAACAAAAACACTAACATTTTAGAATATGAAGATGAGGTGCATTTTAGAATGTAGAACATTTACCACATTTATGGAAGCTTATTATGCTAATTATCTTTGCATATTGGCAAGGGTAAGGGGAAGTCTGTTTGGTCTATACGCTATAATGGAGAAGAGAAAATTTCATCTCACAATATAGAATTTTCTAAGCACATAATACTACTTTGGAGAAATGGACTTAGTTGGGACAGTAAATCTACCACTTGTGTTAGCTAAACAGAGCTTGAATTTGGCAAATGGCAGGTATAAGATATGGGGTATGTTCTTGGATACTTTCTGAAACGTTAGGTAAGTCTAATATTTGAATGCAAGCATCAGGAATATGATAAGCAAAATGAGTTGGTAATGATTGCATTATTTAAATTTCAACTTTATATTTTTGCAGAGTTCTAAAGTTCTTATTGCTTCAGACAATGGATGAGCAATCACAAGGAATGCAAGGGCCACCTGTTCCCCAGTTCCAGCCACAGGTAATTTGTTCTAATGAAGGCTGGTGTGTGTGTGTGTGTGTGTGTGTGTGTGTGTGTGTACAGAATTACAGTTCCTTTAGGAAATAAAACAGCCCCCAAAATGCTAATTATGAATTTACAAGTTTAGTCAGAATTGTTTATATTTTAAATAGTGTTTTAGAATACTTAGTTCTAATGCACCAACATGTAAAAAAACAAACAAACAAACAAACAAACAAAAAACCCAGCTTTAGATTTTAACTTTAATTGAAGGACCGGTAGGCTTTGTGAGTTAATATTATTAAGCTTAGAGAGAAAAGAACACAAGTGAGGCTGTGCCCAGCTAGTGGGGGTGCCCGTATGTGTGGTGCCTGTCTTTGCTTTGGTGGCTGATCCTGCATTATCCACAGCTGCCTTCCATTATTGCTCCTTTTCTCATGTTCTCTGATTAGTGGTGCGTTTCTCCTTTTAGGTGGTTGCTTGTGTTTTCGTAACATAAAATGAAGTGAAAGAATGTTTCATACAAAGCTTGCCATTAAGCCCAATATGTAATGATATGCTTGAAAGAATACACCCCTCTTTGTAGGGCCCAAATCTCACTTTTGCTTTCATTCATAAAAGCTACATTTCTCAGTTTTGTGTTTGAGGCATTCTAGATTCTAGAGTCTAGTCTCAAATTTACTCTGCTAATCTTATCTTAGTTTTGCTTAGATAGTGATTCTGAAATTGTTGGAAGAATCGATGAATATTCTTTCAAATTTCTGTAGTCATATAGGTTGGTGGGACTTGGGTTAAACAGTTACTTGATGACAGTCCTTCCTCAGAGCCTTTCTTATTCTGCTGTGCACTTTAAATTTCCCAGAGGAGGACATGGGTGTAAGTGTTTTTCACACTTATTTAACTGTGGGACTTTTTTATTATATATTTTTAAGTGCATCTATTGACTTCTCTCAGAATCGGTGACTGTGAAACACAGTTTCTGTGAAGCACAGTTCAGAAAATTTTGCCAGCACTGCCTTTTCTGCCTCTGTGATTTTGTTCCCTTTGCACCCTCATTTTTCTCACCAATTTTTCAAATCATGCCTGTTTTTTAAGTACCATCTAAAATGCCATTTCTATCATGAAGCTTTTTCTGATTGTAATATCTTCTCTTGAAAACCTGATGATACATTCTTTGTATGTCTTCTGGTATTTCTGACACCGTTGTATTGTTTTATGTGGACATTTTCTTATCTCTCTGGGGCTACACTCTTGGAGGAAGAGGACTATGCCTTACTTACTTTGGATATGCTGTGGTATTGTACTTCTTCATATGGAGCAGGGCCTCAATAAGAAGATGTCTTTGAAGCCAATCAGGGACTCCTTCAGATGAAGATGTTTAAATCAGCCCTTTACCTAACAGAAGTTTACATTGCTTTTCTTTGTTATACTTACCTGAATTCTCGGTATTCAAAAAAGAGACCCTTTACCTTCGAGTCAGGCCGCTGTTTTTATTTCTTTATTTTTAAGTTTTTATGTAAATTCCAACTAGTTAATATACAGTGTCCAGTATTTTAATTTCAAGATGGTTGTTTTTTAAGATCTGTCTGTATTTTCTGCTATGGTGATAAATTATCAAGCTTGTAATTAGCACCTTCTAACTATCAGGTATACACATGTTAGCGCCGATTTTACACACATAGGCGAACACTATTATTTCATAGTCTTGTTGTTTCTAGTGGAGATGATAAAAGGAGCCCCTCTAAAAATTAGGCAGTTCTTGTTACGATTCTGAAATCCACAGTTTGGAACAGCCCTAAGTTTCAAAGGGGGGAGAAAAAAAGCACTTTCATTTTTGCCTCCCACTGACTCACCGACCGGGAAAGGTCGGAGTGGCAGTAGGAGGCAAAAATGAAAGTAATTATTTTCCTCTGAGACACGAAGCTGCCACACAGCATAAATTTCGAGATTATATATGTGGTTCTGCATCTCTTTTCACACTGTTCCTTTCGCTTATGCCTCCTGCTGCTGCTCCTGTGAGGGTGGACCTCTCTCCCTGTTGGAAACAGGCAAGTGTCATCCCAGGTTCTAGCTGCCTGTGGCAAGTGGGGGAAGGGAGAAGGATTCCTCCCCTCCCCCCCTTCAGACCGATGGTGTGAGATCATGAAAGACAGATTACCTGACAAGAGCTTATAGGTGTTATTGCTTATTAAATCTTTGAAAAATGTTCCCACTCTTGGTATCATTATTTTAAAGCGCTGGGAAAGGACAGTGTCTGCTAGGGGTTGACGACCTTCTTTTGTTTTGTTCCACACCATTGGCCTGAATAAGGGGGGTGATATGGCAACATATGGTTAGCCAAGTGACTTCTTTCACTTTTGTAATGCTAATATCAGTCTGGACGTAAACAGAAATCTGGGGAAGTCAGCTTTCTAAGTGTCAAATACCAATTATGCCCTGTTATAATGATGAGTGATGTATATTCCTGGCATATCTTTCCTTTCCTTGTTCTGAGATGAATACTCTAACCCCACAATATGAATATATGGTCTCATTTTTAGTATAGGAGTTTTTGTTGTTGTTGTTGAAGTTTTAGATTGTGAGATTTATTATCCTTTAAAATGTGCTTTTGCACTACTATGATTCTCTTGAACTTATAGAAAAATTTTTTCTGTCAGCTTTCATTTTTTCCCTTCCCTTCATTTCCTTCCTTCTTTCCTTCTTTGATTCCTTCCACTAAAGCCTAGAAGATCCTTGCAGTCAAGGATATTTTAACTAGATTCTAATTTATATATTCTCATTGCTTTAGAACTGTTGTTTGTGGAACAATGGATTTAGTTTAATTAAAAAAAATACAGACTGTGTATAAGATGGTGACAGATAAATGGTAAAGTGTTTATTTTCTACTATGAGACTAATTTTAAACAATGGAAGTTTACAACTAACATTTTGTGAGTGTTTTGATTTATCGTCATTATTTGAAGAGGGCTATGGTACATTCACATTCTTATAAATTTAAATACAAAACAATTATAATCAGTATAATACTAACGATTTCTGGTAGTGATTAGAAGGAGAATTAATTTTTTTAATTTATTTATTTTGAGATATAGAGAGAGTGCACTTGCACATGCACGCTAGTGGAGGAGGGGCAGAGAGGGAGAGAATCGCAAGCAGGCTCCCCACTGTCAGCATGCCCCCCAACATGGGGCTCAAACTCATGAACTGTGAGATCATGACCTGAGCCGAAACCAAAAGTTGGATGCTTAACTGACTGAGCCACTCAGGCACCCCAGAAGGAAGATTAATTTTAATTGTAATAATCTTCAGGGCTTAGATTATAATTATTATTTGTAAATTTGTAGATATCTAGTGTTAACGCTTTCGCTACTTGTGAAAGAGGGAAAGTATCCCACATCTGCAGGTAGAAAAATAGACTGTCCTTATTTAGCTTGGAAGGTATGAGAATCTTGCCTTGCTGTTTTCCAATCCAAGCAGAAAGGTAGACTGACCATTCCTTTAAGCTTCATTGCAGCCGAATCCAGAGTCCACTTGTGCTTTTGCATCTCTGTGAAAGGAGTGTGAAGAGGTGAGGTTTGCCTTGTAGCATGTCAGGCTAGTAACCCAGGTGTGTTGTGGGCCAGAGCGAAGCAGCCCCCAGTGAACTCTATTGCGTGGATAGGATTTTTGGACATGATAACTGTATTACCTTCCCTTCTCTCTCTCTCTCTCTCTCTTTTTATAATTTTTTTTAAGTTCATTTATTTTGAGAGAGAGAGTATGAATAGAGTAGGGGTAGAGAGAGAGGGAGAGAGAATTGCAAGCAGTCTCTGCACAGAGCCTGCACAGAGCCCCACGTGGGTCCTGAACTCATAAACTCTGAGATCACAACCTAAGCTGAGCTCAAGAGTCAGATGCTTAACTGACTGAGCCACCCAGGTGCCCCTCTTCTCTTCTCTTTAACTTATTTTTACAGAATTACTTTCTTTATGAAATAAGGGTCATCATTTAGCTTGCTTCTTTTGATAAATCGATTTTGCCAAGGTACTTTTCATATAGCATTGAGCAGAGCTTTTATTTTGGGGAGTCTTTATACAAGTTTAGATGTAATGGTCTTCTTTTAACAAGTTTAGTTCATTGAATAACTTTATTAATAAAGGGTACAGGAGAATGAGCAGCTGCTGTTTTGAGGAAAGAAGACTCTTGCTATACATAGTTTAAGTTCATGAGCATGAACCTCAAGTAACTCTTAATTCTATATCAGCAGCCATATCCTTTTAATGCCTTTGCTTCCCAGTCTCCTCAGTGACTACTTCCTAGTTTTTCTTCCTCAGCCCCCAACACTTTTCCCTCCATCCTCAGTCTCAGCTAATGCCCTTGCTTCCTACTTCACTTAAAAAAAAAACAAAACAAACAAAACAAAACAAAACAACGGAAACAATCAGAAGAGAACGCTCACAGACCCCTACCATGGATATCCTCCTCCCAGAATTTGTACTCCTGTGATCTGCCTTTTCCTTTTCAGATGCAGGAGCCACACTGTTCTCAAAGGCCAGTGCTCCCATGAGCACCAGATCCCATCTCCATCCCCTCCTTATTTCAGCTTCCTCTACTGAGTCCTTTCTATTACATACTAAGGTGCTGTTATTCTTTCCATCAAACAACAAACCAAACCAAACAAACTGAAAAAACAGCATTTGAAGTCCTCCCTCTCTCCAGCTGTTGACCTATTTCTCTGCTGCCTTTTATTGCAAAATTCCTAGAAAGATTTATTTGTAGTTTTGTCTCTCCTTTCACTCTCTGAAGTGTACTCCAATTAAGCTTTCTCCCTGACCATGCCACCCTACACTGCCCTTGCCAGGATCGCACTTCCCATGTTGCTCGGTCCAGCTGTGGGTTCTTCGGCCTCGTCTTCCTCACTTACCAGCTGCATTTGGTAGAGCTGGCCATACTTTCTTCTTTGAAGCCTGTTCATTGCTTAGCTTCCAAGAACTTTGTTTTTCTCATGCCTTAGTGGTCTCCTTTGCCGATTTCTCCTCCCC